TTTTCAAATTGTACTCACAACATGCACGGGCAGACAGACCGTACTTCCATCTTCCCCTTTTCGCTCACAGGTGACAAAGATTGAACAATTATAATTAACATTTTACATCCTACATAATCCAATGAAGTCAAATATTCATACAGGGGTTTCTTTTTCAACATTTATTTTGCAAATACAGTCTGAGTACCTGCAAAACTTCTTAATGTTGGTCCAGTAGAAAACAAGAAAAATACAAACATTTAATACCTTTTTCTGAATTCTGTTCAGCTGTATGAATTTTGAAACTTCTTGTAGGCTGGTAATTCCACAATATTATGTATTTTAGTTGTGTATAAATATCCCCCAAAAAGTCTTGTTTTTCTAAAGAATAGTTAAAAAACTGGCATCAATTTCTACATAAAAAAGGGATTAGATGACTATAAAATGTACAGTTTTTAAAATTTTAACTTAATATTCACATTCATATATAAAACTTACAAAACATCCATTTTTCCAAATCACCTAAAAAAAATTATGCTGAAAGATTATTTTAAATTACCATACATTTAAATGGATTATTTTCATGTTTTCAGCATTATTAATGCAATCATTTCTACTATAATTTTTATTTTCAATTGATTTTTAAAGTACACAAGTCAATAAATTAACATGCTACCAGAGTCCCTGAAAGTCAAAACTTAGCTGTTATAGAAAGAGTGTATTTTGTGTGTATCAAAGTGTTTGTGAGGACACATCGTCCGTTAACGAACCTGCTTCAAATGTTAAAGCGGAGGAGGTGGGGTTGTTTTAGAGTCCATACAAAAAATAATTCATTGTAAATATATAATATTTTTTATACATATTTGAATATATTTACAAATATAACCAGCTTTATACATTATAATGTGTAGTCTTTCTCTTGAATAAATGAAGAAACGTGAGAAATAATCGGCATATTTTATGTCCTCCTATTCCTGTTTTGTTAGTCAAAGTCTCCGTCTGGGAGACTAGTTCCTATTTTTTAGTTCCTAGTTCCTTTCTTTAAGTTCGTATGGGTCCATACATTCCTCCAGGAGCAAACAACAGTCTTGTAGCTGCAGATCACCAAACGGAGAACACTGTTGAACTTCTGGGTCAAGAAGATGAGAACTAAATGATGAGGGAAAGAAGCTGCATGTTTATATGAGAGGAGGAGGAGGAGGAGGAGGAGGAGGCGCACCCCACAGGACTCATTCAGTCAGTATAAAATAGCTTCTGTAAGGTTCCTGTCCTCTCCTGTCAGACTTCACGTGCAGATGAGTGTGGCAGCAACCCTGTCCTGTCTGGGTCCATTAGTCCACCAGGAGCCAGACAAACAGGAAGTCCAGGGGGCGGGGCTTCAGGGAAGGCGTCTGTTGCCACGCGTGTTCAAGGTCGCCGAGGTTGGTCCGCGTCAAAGTGGCGCGAGGAGGATGGGCGCAGGCTCATCTTTTGACGTTGCCGTTAATGTGCTGGTACTCGGGGAGGCAGGGCTCTTCCGGTAAGAGGTCGTGGGAAAACACCGAGTCGTCACCGGAGGAGCAGGAGCTCCGAGTGTCCAGGAAGCTGGGGGAATACTGTTCCGTCGGGGCGCAGAGGTCCAGGTACTCCTGTAGACACGAGACAGACCAGACAGGAGGGTGGCGTTAGCAAATCTACACTCAGACTAAAACTACTAGAGATATATGCAGTTTGACAAACTGTGCTGAAAATGAGTTGAAAGCAAAATGCTCTTTAAATACTAAAGTAGCAACATGCTAACCAAAAATAGCAAAACACCAACTAAAAGTAACGGTAGTAAAAAGCTTGACAAAAGATGAGGTTAAAAACACTGTTAAAGGCTAAAAGGTTAAAATTGCTAATTAAAAACAACAATAACAAAAACAAAGTTAAAAGCTGAAAAAGCTAGCTAAAAGTAGAAGAATCTTAGCTTTTTACTACGATTAGCGTTTGTAAAATCGCCATGCAAGAGTTATCTTTAGTAGATTTAGCAGTATTATCTTAAGTAGAATTAGCATTAGCAAGATTAGCTTAATTAGAATGAACATTAGCATTAGCAGTATTATCTTAAGTAGAATTAGCATTAGCAAGATTAGCTTAATTAGAATGAACATTAGCAATAGGCTATTATTTTTAGTAGAATTAGCATTAGCAAGATTAGCTTAATTAGAATGAACATTAGCAGAAGGCTATTATTTTTAGTAGATTTAGCATTAGCAGTATTATCTTAAGTAGAATTAGCATTAGCAAGATTAGCTTAATTAGAATTAACATTAGCAGTAGGCTATTATTTTTAGTAGAATTTGCATTAGCAAGATTAGCTTAATTAGAATGAACATTAGCAGTAGGCTATTATTTTTAGTAGAATTAGCATTAGCAGTATTAGCTTAATAAAATTAGCATTAGCAGTATTATCGTAAGTAGAATTAGCATTAGCAAGA